GTTTGGCTAAAGTTTAAGAAAAACAAAATCACATTACGTTTCTGATATTCAATTAGTAAAACATTTTTTGTTTTGCTATGAAACACCATACTCAAAAGTCTAGATTTCAAAGGAACACCCGAAATATTCAAAGGGATCTAAATATTCAATCACCATAATCCGAAAAAGTCAAAATCCAGAGGGACCTAACAAAATATATTAGTTTTTTTTTTTAATTTAAGTTCAAGGGACTAGGAATAAGAAACAGAGAAAGTGACTCAAATTTTTGTTTCTCACTCTCAAGGTTTTCTCTGGTAGAGGATTATCTCAAACAGGACGTCTCTCTCAATCATCCAAATAGTAATAGCATCCGGCCATCTTCTGCTCTCTATCCTTGATCGAATCGAGTTTGTTGATTCTTGGTCTGAAGTTTGTAGGATCTCTTCTGAAAGTAATGTTTAAATGAGACAAGAACAAATTCATTCCACTCCGTAAAGACTGTGGAGAACTTGCCGTGCAATCCACGGAAGGATCTCCTTCAAACACGATGACTTTATCTGCCAGATACGTCGCCATTGTGAAATCATGTTCGACCACAAAAGCTGTCTTCTTCGCGTTAAGGATGAATTTTTTTATCACTTGGGAAGCTATAATACGCTGCTCGGAATCAAGAAACGCGCTCGGTTCATCAATCAAGTAGATACTCGCTGATTTCCCAAGGCACAAAGCTAAAACAACCCTTTGTTTCTCTCCACCGGAAAGTTCTTTGAAGACTCTATCCATGAGCTCCTCGATATTGAGCCGTTTCATAACGATTGACTCAAATTGGGGTTCCTTAAATGCGTTAGGAATCTTCGTGTGTATCAACTGTTGAACCGTAAACTCTAACTCAGTATGTGGTATATCTTGAGGCTTGTAAGAAACAGAGAACTGTGGCATCTCGAGTTCTTCGGATCCTTCTTCAACGTCAGGCTTTAAACCGGCAAGCATTTTGATAAATGTCGATTTCCCAGTTCCATTCTCTCCCAACATAACTATAATCTGCGAATCGGTGAATTCGCCTTCTCTCACTCTCAGCTTGAAGTCCCCTCGAGTTTTAGTCATTTCAGGGTAATTGTACCTTGCCTAGGACGCTACTTCCTCTTCCGGTGTCTCGGTTACTCTAAAGATCAAAGACTCATCTCTAAAGCGCAGATTCTCAGCTGGACCAAACCCGGCCAAGAAAACATTAATCCCTTCCCTAACAGAAAAAGGAAACGTCACAACACCATAAGCTCCCGGTGTACCGTAAAGACAACAGATAAAATCAGATAAGTAATCAAGAACACTAACATCATGCTCAACCACAATAACATAATTGTTCGATTTCAAAAGAGATCGAATCACTTGAGTAGCTTTAAGCCTTTGTCTCACATCAAGATAACTAGGCGGTTCATCAAACATGTATATATCAGCTTCTTTCATCGCGGTTTCACCAATCGAAAATCTCTGTAACTCTCCACCAGATAAATCTTTCACATTCCTATCAAGAATCTGATTCAATTCAAGCTCATCACAAAGCTCTGAAAACACACCTCTCTCGTCCGCACGACGAAGCAGAGTCTCCACAATATCATCAGTCTCTCTATACTCATCAACATGTTGTATCTTCAAAACCGATTTCAAGTCATCTTCCACAAATCTTGTGAAGTAGTTTTGTAACTCTGATCCACGGAAGTAAGTGAGAATCTCTTTCCAATCCGGAGTTCTATCGAATCTCCCCAAGTTCGGTTTGATATTCCCACAAAGGATCTTGAGAGCGGTTGATTTACCAATACCGTTTGTGCCAACTAAACCTAAAACTTGACCTGGTCTAGGAACAGGAAGTCTATGGAGTTTGAAACCGTTGACTCTATAGGT